GACATAGCTAATGGAAGAGGCAAAAATATCTAGAGGACATTGACAGAGGAGGCTACGAAGAGAAAAGGAAGAGAAGCTGCTGGACAAAAGTAAATGTGAAACTGGGTTTCAGAGCTTGGTGAAATAAAAGGCTGCAGACAGATGGCGAGCTGGCCTTCCTTTTTTCTTTTGTCAACTTGTTAGCTTTTGATCATAAGTAATGTAATCATAACAAATGTACAGACACAGGACACAGTAGTATGGCAACTGGGGGCACCAAATGGCAACAAATTTTAGTTTTATGATAAAATATGGTGGTACATTTTGACAATGACTATAACTCTTATTTTTCATGTATACACAAGTTGTTTGAATGCATGGCCATGACAGTTTGTCTCAAAGGCATGGAAAAGTATTGGTAAATATGTGTATGAACCTTGACATGGTTAACATTAACCTTCTATTCTATTCTTTTATATTAGCATTGTCATTGTGAGCTCTTCTCTAAACAGCCCTGAGTACAGGAACATTACATATTAGTGTATGATGTATCATGATGTAATCTGGTGCCCTCAGGCGACTTTATTATAGCAGGTAATAGTTAGAGTGGAAGACCACATGACGCCAGTGCTCCTCCTGTAAACAGGTCCAGAGGAGGAGGCTGCTGGTGTGAATCACAGCGTACATTTCAGACTTCGTGAATGTGTGTATGATTGAAATACAGGACACACTGCCTTGACGCACATTGGAGGGTGAGTCATCAAATTACAGGATCAGGAACATCTCTTGTCACATACACGTTCTCACATTCGGCCTTGCACACATACACAGGACCATACACTCACACACGACACTGACAGAGAGCTCAATAGAACCGACTGGCTCTGTTTAAGGTTAATGCTTCCTGCCTTCAGTGCTAAACACTGGCTGCATAATGGCTCTAAAGCAGCTTCTCTCATTCTGTGTGTCAGTGCATACACGTCCTCAATAACCTGCCTGAAGCTGTTAACAACTCCCACCCACTTCATGTTCTCCACCTGCTTAACAACCGAGACACCACCATGACAGGGCGACCATCAGCTGCAAAGCCTCAAATGTCTTTTTTCACAATTCTTTGACTTTTTATTGATCAAACAATTGGAAGATAAGATGATTGATACTGAATATTGTTACAATACCCCTACACTTGAGTGTTGCATAAAGACAGACTTGAGAACATCATTTAATTCATTTATTCTTTTGAAAAGGACTGAAGTGGGAGTGCCACAAAGAGAAATCTCACCATGACTGATTTAAGAAGTAGTTTCTTGCGAGTAGGAAATTACACCGTCTAAGCCGACGTCGTCTCACAGAAAGTGTTCCGGTGTGTTCCGGTGGTCCCTCCCCTTCCGCTACAGAGTGAAAATGGCGGCCACTGAGGGTGAGGGTGTCCAACGTTCCACACTCAACTTTTTGACCGTTATAAGTGCACCATCCAGGTACTAGCAGTGCACTGCATTGTGCCACACTCAACAGTATGAATGCACTTATGTACTCAAAATGGTTAATATAAGTGTGGAAGTATTCGAATTGAGAAACAGCATAAGTTTTGTGATGTATGGCTCAAAGGTTTGTGCAGGAAACTACAATGATTGCTCTAATTTGCAGAAAAGTTGCGGTGATTGGACAAAATTACAAGGTTGCGATGCACAGAATTCACAAGGATTGGTTAAATTTGCCTTAATTGTTATTATCACAGTATCGCAACTTCCTGGAAGGGACTGATTCAGTCTAACGCCTGTTAAACATTTGGCAGGCAGAAAAGAGTGTGTTGAGTAGTTGTTTCTTTTTATGTATTACTTGAAGGCTATATGCCACTGTTGT